TTTCCCCAGCAATTATTTGGCTAACTTTCCATCTTCGATAGACCGAACTAAAAAACAAGCTTCTTTTGAAAAGTTGTCAGGCACATTCCTTTCTTTTCATTTTCTCCTGAGTTTTAATCAAGCCAATCTCTGGATTTCCCTGTGCCCTCTGATAGAATATTCTGACCGGCCCTGTGCGCGCTCCTAAAACACTCTTCGAATTTACCAGCTCTGTTTGAGTTCCACGGTTTGCCTTTCTTTGAAATGCTTCAAGTCTCCTTTGTCTGGGGCTAAAGGCTGAAAGGAACTGATAACCAAACCCTCCCTCATGATCACGGATGCCTCCTCCTCTTCATTCTCAGCCTAACTTTTTTTTTTTCCTTTAGCTTCTCCCACCTCATCCTCACCCCCTCAAGCTAAGACATTTGTCAAAAGTTTCCTCTGAGTTCTCAAACCCCTTTGTCCAGCGTGAACTTTCTGAATTCAAGGGTAAAGAAAAGGGATTTGGCTTCGGTTAGAAAAGGGAAAGCTGGATGGGGGAAGGGGAAGGAGAAGGGGCTAGGTGCTTCAGAACGTTACCTCTGAAGCAGAGAGAGAAAAGAACTCCAAGAATTATTTGGTATATACAGCAGGAGTGGGGCCAAAAGAGATATACAACCTCCTGGAAAGAGAGCATGAATTTCTTCACCTGTGTGAATTAAAGTAGATCATTTAACTTACATAGTTCATGAGACCATCCAGTGGCTACACCTTTGCTCCTGGTTCTAAATGGAGGTGAGCACATTAGGAGGATTAAAATAAAGGAAAAATCATTATGTTTACTTCTGTAGAAGCTTCCCAGAGAAGTGCTTGTCCTGGTGGGATCCAGTGAGGAGGAAGATCATCTTAGTCTTTACATACTATGAGGAAAATAGAAGTACAAGTTGGGGAAACCATGAGCAGAGCGATGGCGTAACTTATGCAGGGGACGAAAGCAATTGCAAGGTTCTATGCACTCATACGTAATACGGTCTTTACCAGGATGTCCTGTTAGAATAAAATATATTTGTGCAGTTAAACAGGTAGCAAGGGTTTTTTTAATGTGTGCATAAAAAAATATTAAATTGAGCTTATGAATAACATCTTTCAAATAAAAAAAAAACACATCATTAATATTTAACATGCTCAGAGAAGCTGATCAATAGCGGTCAGTCTTCTTGGCGATAGTCGGTCTCGTCAGCCCCTCCAGGTCTGCAACCCCAAGGTTCTACCCAGCTTTCGCAGGAGAGCTAACCACCTCCCCGGTCCTCCTCAGGCCACTCAGAGTTCAACTCTCCTTTCTCAGAGAAGGGGAGAGAGGCCACAAAAGATCCTTCAAATTGATTCCCCCTCTGAGGACCTACACTCTCCTGGGTACACTCTTAACTGGAGACAAACTGCACTGAGGTATCGCACGCTGGATGGTTAACCCAGCCTGTTAACTGGTAGGCCAGTGCTTCAGGAAACAATCCCTGGGCTAACTGTATCTTTGTCCCCTAAAACACTGAGAGATTAACATGAGCATAATTCTTCCCTTTCAGCCCACCACATCCTTACCCCCATTCACCCAACCTCCATGCTCACTAGCAGACAAGAATCTTTATTTTCACAAATGGACTGAGCCTTCACCTTAAAACCTTTGCCTTAGGACAGCCACCTGGTTCTGTTGTGGTTTCTCTCCTCCCCTAGACAGGACGAACTCACGTTCCTCACTCACGGAAGCATATAGCCCAACAAGGGAGACGCTGCCAAAGCTGTGGGTACCAGGTCCTCGGCTAAAACTTCTGGAGACACAGCTGGTTCCACTACAGCAAAACAAATCACTCCTTTGAACAAAAAAGCTTCAAAACTTTGAGGTAAGAGAAGATGAAAGCTTCAGATCTCTGTAAATTATATATTATCCATGTCTAGAATGCCCAGAGGGGTCATGAATTTAGAGACCTCAACAAAAACAACAACAAAAAGCCAATATCTGACACCTTATGTTCCTGAAACTCATTACAACCCTGGGAATGAAAGTATAGGGAGAAAAAAAAGCAAACAGTGAATAAATTATTTAAAAGAGGAAAAGCTTTCATCATTTTCTTGCATCGTTCCTGAGCTTTTCCCAATAGTTTCAAAACCGGTGAAAAGAGAAGTCCTGTCTCTTAAATTATCCCTTGATTTCAAATTATCTCTTGTCTGGGATTGAAAGGATTCTTCCTCCCTTTATGAACCAGACTGAAAATTACGGACTCCTCTAATCTTTAACTCTTTCCTCTCTTTCTAAAATATCATCAGGAAAAGCAATAAGAAGATTCAAATAACATATCATCTGAAAAAGAGAGGTCTTTTTTTTAATGAGCCTCTCAAATTAATAAAAGTTCTATCCCTGTGTTGAAGTGGAAAAATGTATTGGGAGAAAGGAGCTGCTTCCTCTCCGATTCCTGAGATGAGACTACACGCTCTCACGCTTTATTGAGAGCACTTTTTTTTCCCACAGTGCCTTGCTCCTCCGGACCACAGGGCACCTCCACTGTGCCCTGTTGAACCAGGCTGGTGCTGGACAAATTTTAAGTGTACAATGAATGTGCGGCTGTAACTCGTGAGCTGTGAACGCCTCAAGATGGCATGCTCACCTCAATGCCCACAGCGTCTCGCTCACAGTAGGCACTCAATAAAGTCTGTTTGACTCAATGAGCAAATGAATGAGCAATCATGTCTAAATCACTAAGATCCCCCCCTTTTCAATCTTTCCTGAGAATCACTCCTTGTCTGTTTTCTTCTCCCTAAGACATTTTAGTAATCAGAGGAATGCACCATATTTGGAGAGTCTTACACATTCTGTTTCTTATTTCATCTGAGAAAGAATTTACCGAAGAGTCCTCCCCACCGCATGTGGATTGAATTTCCATCTCTTCTCCCCATTTCCACCTTTCTTTTATTTCTGTCTCCATCAGAGCACAGCACTCAATATTCTGCAGAAATAATTTTCTGCTGAATGAGGTTTGGCCATAAGTCAAGGGCAGATTTATTAAGGCCTCTGCACAGCCTGTTCCCCGGCTTACTGTCGACATGACAGTTTAAATCTTTGATCACCCTTACACTTAACCCCTTCCACGCTGAACAGTCCAACCTGCGAGGTGAGCTGTGCTGAAATGATTCTGAGCCTCCGCAGACAGGACATCGTTGCCAGGATCCAGGGTGTCCAGTGCTTCCAGGGGTGTTCAAGGTCTCCCCGACCCCCCCCTCTTCAACCCGCCTCTGCCTCCAGAAGGTCACTTCATTGTCACCAGTGCCATGCCCCGTCACCCACTTCTTCCTTAGAGAAGCAGGAAAACGCCACTGCATTTTGTCACCCAGATAACTGGGGTTTTTAGTGGGTTAGCTGGGTGCTCTGAGAAAGAGTGTTGTTGCTTCTGTGTGGTTTCGGATTCTTTTTTTTAACAGTTTTACCATTCTGTGACAGCGTACCAAACCTCTGGCACTCTCAAGCGCACCTCAAGCCCGTCTTGTAAAGACCCGTGAATCAGCCAGGCGGTGGGGTCACATGAGCACTACGATGATTGCTTTTCCATGGAAAAGTTCGATGGCGCTGCATATTACATGCAGGCACTTTGGTTACCAACACGCATGCACACGTGCACACACGTACACTCTTCCCCTTCACAAAACAGTGCTGGACATGCCACTAAGGATATTAAACAGCTCACGCCACTGTGAAGGCTCCAGAAGGGTTACTCCATTCATGCTAAAGAAAGTCAAAACACTGTGCATTACCGGTCACCCGTGTGCACGTTCCTTTGTTTCAGGTGACTTGATCCTCCTTTGCCCCATTAGTTCCTCCCAAACAATTGCTATTGTTATTTCTCCTATATGGGCAGCACTTTGCATGTATTGAAGTTTTCTCTCCATACACGATCTCATTAGATTCTTGCTTATTTCCTACAAGTGGAAGTTATTGTCCTCATCTCACACACGAGAAACCCTGCATTGTTCAAAGTGACACCCTGCTGTAGGCAGCAGTGGGCTAAGTTTTGTACTTGCGTCCTCTGTGGAGGCACAGTCTCCTTCCAAATAGCCCCTTAAGAAATCATCACAATGCTGATGATAATTGTTAGTAAAATACCTTTTTTAGTATCCATACAAATTCACACCATAGAGAAAGGTATAAAAAAAGACAGAAAAATGACCCAAACCCCTCCAAGATAAGCATGCTATACCATTTGGGTATATGTATTTCCAGGCTTTTTTCTATAAGAGGTTATTCTTTTAAGGTCAGATCATGATGATCCAGTGCATTCAAATCCTCTCACAAATCTCCTTAAGTGCATACTAACAGGGAGGAGGGGCCAGGCACGGATGAAATTGAAATTGTATTGCCAATGAGAACAGATCAGCCAATAAGTTTATTTCTTCAAAAAGCAGTTTCATTCAGTTAGTTTAGAATTAACCTTCAAATTTTCTCTTTTTTAAATGTTAAAACAGAGGTCCGAGCTCAGCACACTCATTTTGAGTGATGCCGTAGGAATGTTTGGAATTAAAATATAAGATGTAGACTAAAGACATAGAGATGACCTATAAAAAATGTAAAGATGGATGATGAAAAGATTTGGTCTGGAGAAATGGTCCTTCAACATTATCACAGGGAGGAATAAGCTACCCAAACCACCAGTGAAGGGGGCCCTAACTCCCCTTGGGGCGAAATAAAGAGTGGCAGGAATTGGAGGGCAGGGAAGCCAGGGGGAGAAGAGAAACTAGTAGAACTTTCCAGAAAAAGGGAGATCTTTTCACAAAGAGAAGTAGAAAACCATGTCCAAACAAAACCAATACAACCACTGCAAACTCATCAACCACAGTATCTCAGGGTATTCTCTAAAGTTGCGATTTGTTCTAGAAAAATGGAAGATTCTCAGAAACCAGCCATTAAGGGGCATCCTCAGAAAAGAGTTAGCCAGAGAAGGGCTTTGAGAGGTCCTACATCTTCTGCTTTTGTTTAGATGAACACAAGTTCCTGCCCCTACCTGCTTGTTGCCAGAGACACTTGAAGAGAAATAAGGATCCATTTTTCTTTCTGTGGAAGGTTAACTGTGCGTCCGCTGACTTGGGTGTTGGTGTGGTCCTCCAGGCCTCATAAAGGCCGCTCTAAAGAAGAAAAAGAAAACAATGCGGACAGTGTACAAAGAGATGAGGAGAGTGAATTCCAGGGAACTGACTCAATGCTGTCAGGAGAAATGATGAGACAGTCCAATTCCCAGAAAGTTGGGTGCTTGAGAAGGACCCCAGCATTTCCTACCTGGGGTAACCCACATAAGGCAAAGTGCTCCCGCTCGGACCTCCTATTAGCCCTGCCGAACCAGCCCGAGGTCCTGTACTCTCCTTCTAAAAAATTTCAGTTTGCCTGCCTTCTTCTCCTGGCAAGCCCTCGATCGTCACTAACACCTGTCAGTCGCACAAGGTCATTCTCCCAGCTTGCTGATGGGATCTTTTCATTATCTGTTAAATGACCTGGGGGAGCTCTTACACACCAAGGAATATATGTGTTCGCTCCCTGAACACATCCATCGCCTTCTTGGAGCATTTTACGTGGGCATAGCAATGCTTCAGGCAGCCATTTATCTTGGGGTTTATGGGATATTTGGCCATATCTCTAAATACTACAAACATTTTTTTAAAAACCTTATGTCTGTTAATGAGCTGTGGTAACAATATAGGTGTGCTGTTTCTTGAGTGTTTTTATTTTTAAACATTACAAAATAATTTTTGTAATGGAATTTGGTCTCATAAATTCTTGCATATGAAAAGAAGTTGGCTATAAATAATATGCTTGAAAAGCCACTTTCTTAACATTTCCCCCCAAAACACCTAAAGGCCACAGTCAGAGAATGACAGCCACATTGGAACAATGGGGATAACTGACAGGTTTTGTGGATGTGTATTTCTCCCCCCTGCGCCAAAGTTTCTGCATCTTTGGGAGCCTCCAGGGACAATGACTCTGGTTTAATAACTGTGAAATGCTATTGAATTAGCAATAAAAAATATTCCCCACCACAGAACAATATGATACGACAGGCAGCATTCCTGCCAATCACAGGTCATTCAGGAAAAAGTGCCTTGAGCTCCTTTAGCAACGGGAATGCCCCCTTGCAAAATGTGTGTAGACAAGCGTGAGGCTTTGGCAACACCACAGAGCTCTGCAGCCACATCCCACAGCGTGGATTGCACCGAACGCTGTACTTACGTACGCCTAGAAGCAAAACTCCTCTCCTGTTTGCAGAAGATGAATCATGGTTGTGTACTAGTGACCATGGCCTTCGCCACACGCATTTTTACTCTTTAAGTCCATCATACACACATCAGGGCACTTATTCTTTAGGTCCACTAAGGCATTCCCAAGGCTCCTTATAATGCAAAGGAAGGGTAATCAAATGACCACTCAAAGGAGGTTAATGACCATGTTCTCCATGGGTAATTCTTTTTTCACATGAGATCAGCAGCCAGCTTGATTAGGCAAATGTAAGGCTCTGGCTGTCTTTTGGTACACATATGTGTGGGGGAATTGGTGGGCAGACACCCAGCAATTGAGATATTTAGAATAAATCATCACAGCAGATGGCTGCAACACATCAAGAAATCAAAACAAAAAAATATGGACAAAAAAAGCATAAAAGATCATCTCAAATGTCATTGAGTGGGAGACTCCAGTCATTTCGCAGGTTGAAGGCACAGTGAAACTTTTGTTACCCTTTGGCTGTGTCCCATGATTATTCTTCAGCTCTGCTTGATGTGAACTGGGGATTGGAGGCAGCACATGTAGGATTCCCAGACAAGAGGTAAGAAAGGAAAACATTCTCATGCATACAGGGTGGATCACCCCAGAGGTGACTGAAAAGGCCTCTTGTGTTCAATGTTTTCCTTGGTCCTTGACTCTTTGGGGGGCAGTGTGAGAGTTCCAAAAGGGTTCAGTGAGAGAGGCTGCAGAAAGGCGGGGTTCTAGAAAGTGTAATGACGGAACCCTCTTTTGAATTTGACACTATCTAGGTCCTTCTTAGATTGTAATAAGTCATATTTCACTGATAAAAATGACATCTTTAAAAAAAAACAACATTCTTTTCATTAGCTTATGGAGTGAGGCCAATGCAATAGCAGCAATGGTCTCTCAGTAAGCTGTAAGTCCCTCACTGAACTACAGTCTCCCTAAGAAGAGGGGCCTTATATTCTCCATCTTTAGCTCCCTCACAACACTCAACACAAGATCTGCACGCAGAAGGTTCTCAACAAATTTTTGACAATGCAGTTCTTTCTCAGTAGCTTAAAGTGCTATTAGTTTAACCACACAAAACTGATTTTGCAGGTGAAAAATGGTCACATACTGGCAACTAGATATTGTCAAACCCAGTATTTACTAACTCTACCTATACTATCAGCTAGTTCATTTATTTCACAAACATTTCCTAAGAGTTATTGTGTGCCCACCATTGTAGTTAGACAACTCCACTTACAAGTGAGGAAAGAGATATGTGGATTAGTTAAAAAATAAACAGAAAGTTAGTTGAAGGATAGCCAAACTTTGTATATTCATCCCTAAGCCTTTCCATTGTCACAACCATAAGCAGGAAAGTGGCTCATAAACTGGGGAGTTAAAGAGTGGAATTTTTTTCAGGGACAGAGACTCAAGTAATAGCAATATTTTCTCTCCCTCTCTCTCTGTCTGTCTCCCCCCACCCCTCCATCTCTTTGTTCTCCCTGTCTCTCTTCCATCGTATGTTGCCTTCATACTCTCTCATCATAGGCTTTCCCCATATTTTCCCCATGTGCCCACATAAACGTTCTCACAGAACAATCTGATTGACCTTACCTAGGCCACGTGTCCAAGCCCTGGCCCTGTCCCTGTGGAGAGGAAGATTGGATCCAGCTAGGCCAGGGTCACAGGCCCACTCCCTCACAAGGACCAGTTATATGGACTAAATATTTACGTTCCCCCAAAACTCGTATGTTGAAACCTCGCCCCCAACATAACAGTATGACTAGGGCCTTTGGGAGGTAATTAGGATTAGACAAGGTCATGGGGGTGGAGCCCTCATAAAAGGGATTAGTGCCTTGATAATCACCAGAGAACTTGTTTTCCTTCTCCATTCTCCACCATGTGAGAATACAAGAAGTCAGCCATCTGCAACCTGGAAGAGGGTCCTCACCAGAATCTGACCCTGCTGGCCCCCTGATCTTGGACTTTCAGCTTCCAGAACTCTGAGAAATAACTTTTTGTTGTTTCTAAGCCAGGTAGTATGTGGTACTTCATTACAATAACTCGAATGGACTCAGAGACAGCCAGGGCATGAGGCTCTGTTATTAATAGTCTAACAGAGCCATCTAAGACAGAGAAGCAATTTCCCAAAGGAAAGAAAAAGTGGCAAACAAAACCACAGCTGTCCCAGACTGTCTTGTCCATCCATCCCCATGTGTCCACCATTCTGCCTGAGAGCCCCAAAACATTTTATTTGCTCTTTTACAAACTACATCCTCATTACAAAATTGGTATTCAGGAGACCAAAAGACCAAATCACTACTTAATCTAACTTGGACAACGCCCCTTCTCCCGCCCCCACGACCCCCCACAGGACATCCTCAGAGCTCGCTTCCTGTTAGGGGCAAGGAGATACAGGGGCTAGTACACTTGTGTTGTGCCCAATGGATCTGGTCTTCATGTGAGCCACTTAGTTCTCATCTGTATCACTCCTTAGATTACAATGTGGCCCCATCAGATCTCGTCGAAGTTCAAAAGCAGGTGTCCCTTATTTTGCCAAAAAGCAAACAAAGGCTGGAGGGCATCCGTGCAAATCCACCTACCAATGAGGAGAGCTGCATTTCTAGAACGAGGACAAAATTATAGGCATTTCAGAATGAATTTGGAGAGGACTAAAGTTACCAGGAAATGAAGTTAAAATTGTTTGATTCAGCGTATTTTTCTTGTTTCATGATAATATGCACCCACAGGTTTGTGAGAAGTAAAATAAATGATTCAGACTATATAGGTGTTTGATGAGTATTTGTTGAATGAAAATGGATTAAATCAAGGGCTACCTGACCTCTCAATAAAATAGGGAAGCGTGCCTCAGCTGGCGGGCTCGCTGTCATCCTGGGAGGAAAAGGGGCAAATCTGGCGGCAGTTAGGAAGCAACGGGCACCGTGCCCTGGCAGAAGTCAGCGGTGGCTGAAGCGAAGGGTGTGACGGCATCACTGGGTGAGATGGCCTGACATCACCCCGGGGTGGGCCGAGGGAGGGCGCTTTGGTTTTCAAGAATATCCTCACTAAGCCAGCATGCTCTGCTGTGTGCCCTGGTCTGAGGCCTTCTCTAGTGTCAAGACGATTTTCTTAACAGAGGGTGCCACTTTAATATCCTGCCATGGCACTGCTCAGTATAGATCAAGAGTAGCCTGGGGGAGAACCAAGAAAGGCTTAATGAGATGTTTCAAGGGTCAAACATCTTGAAAGAATACGTCCCTCCAGAGCCGAGCCCAGCACTTCAGAGATGCCACGGCAAGAATGCACAGGGATCCAGAGAACGAGGTGCTGTCCTGTGGCTCCTCAGACATTTTCAGCCACCTCCAGAGAACTCTGAACTACGCTGGGGTGGATTCAGCGTTGCCCTAGGGAAATGGCCTTTCCTGCAGGGTGAGCTGCTCACAAAGAGTAAAAAACTAGTCACTCACCAGAAATTCACTGCTGCCTGCCCTGAGTCTTTTTATACACCAACAGAACAACGGCCGGAAGGTGAGCGATGGTGCGAGGCGAGGTAGGGTGCTTATTGCTCCTGATGCAGAATGCTGTTCCTAGTTGGTTGAATCCACCCCTTGAACTATTAATGTGGGCCTCGCACAGTGGAACAAATTAATAATAATACTTACATAGCATTTATAATGTACCAGGCACAGTTTTAAGGGCTTTCCATCTGTGAACTCACTTAACTACACAATCATCCAGTGAAGTACACGCTATTATCGCTCCTATTTTAGAGATGACGATCACACATAGTGAGGGGCAGTACCAGCATTTGAAAGGAGGCAGTTTATCAGGAAAGGCCAGACCCTCCGCTGTCATAAACACTGTCCCCAACAGGTTTTTGTCTCTTAAAGAAGAGAATGCA